TTTATATTAAACATTGCTTTCTTTAAACGTAACAGATATTCCTGTTTGCTTTTATTAATTTTTGTGAGAATTGCATTTCAGCTATAAAATGGATGTATAAAATTCGTAAAAATGTGTTTCAATCGAAACACTGATTAAATAATGTAAGGCCTTCTATTCTAGCGAAATCGCAACGTGTTCGCTATAAATAGAATATGCGGATGATGAATTTATAAGGAAATCGAAATTATAAATGTTAGGTGCAATGTACATGATAAAAGGAACGTTTACCTAAAATAGATTTTTAAATTGACGCCACGAATGTTTTAATTTGCACAAAACTACGCAATCTAATTATAAATCTTATTGATATACTCCAAATTATTTCATCATTATCATTATTAACAATCATTTAGACCTAGAAGTCCTTATCGATAATCGGCTATCTTTCGATGAACACACTACCTTAATTCTAACTAAAGGTCCTAGTAGTAGGTCTTAGAGTAATCAGCAATTTCACAGTAATACTGTAAAACGTTGCGATATTACGTTCAACCTACGGGGATAGAATTTGAATCCGAGTAGCCAGATCTTTTAGCAAAATCCATGGTTTAATTCCAGTCTCGTATCGCGGTTTAGCGTCCAGAGAATTGGGTGTATCGTTAAGGTGAGGCCAAAAATACGGGCGCGCCGTCAGGATAACCGAAGGAAACGGAGCGGCGACACGGAAATACCCTTTGCCGGATGGAATTTATGTCCGCTACGAGAATGGTGAGAATTTTCCGTGCCGAGAAAATCATGTTACGCCCGATGCGATAAGGAGAGGCTTCGTTCCTCGTCACCGATTTTTACGCTGTTGCATTATCCATGGTGATTCGGTGTTATATGATCGTAAATGCGGTTGAATTATAAAGCGATGAGATAGATCCACCGATAGTGAACAGTTTACTCCGATGGAATTGAGAGGATTTTCTAACACCTGACTCCTAGAATTTCTCTTTTGTTATTACGTATTCAGTCTTAATTATTGTATATTTCATTACACTTGCAACATCAAGCTTCTAAATTTGGAGGAATTTAAAAGAAGAACTATACAGTCACGTTGGCAAAGATGAAAAGAAACCGTCAAGAAGATTGGCTGATTTATGCAACCAGAATTGACCTTTAATAGATCCTGATACCGGAAATATTTATTAGACTTTGAAGCGTGATTTTGACGAGGCAGACTAAACTTTCGCTGCCTCCTAAGTCCACCAAAATAGACGTAAACAGGCGTTTTAAAATGACAGTTTGATCTTTGACGAAACGTAACCGAGCAATCGGAGGAGAATTAAAATTAACTGGTTGCGAAGTTGATCCGAATAAAGAAATCTGAAAGGCGATATTTCTGAAATACGACGAAGACTCGAGTTCTTCACGTTTCTTTAAACTTCGTTGTAATCTATGTTTTACGATCAAAACATTCATAATTAATTCTTCATTAGAGGCTCCATTCGAATATCTAATATCACATTAGTTTGTATGAAATGTTGTCTTTTTTAAAAAAAAGCAAATGTCCCGTTGAATATTGTGTATTTATTCAAGTAATAATTTATTAATTATTTTTACACATTTTTGAAAAAATAAGTAGTTCCATAATCCCAGATGTATTAATATCTAGATATTCTTCAGATAAAAAGTAAATGCTCTATACCAGGGATTCCCAGTGGAGTCGACAAAATTTTAAAGGGGGTCAATGATAATCAAGGAGTTGATTAGAGATCGATAGACGAATATGTTTATTGATATAAAGCTACATCGTGTAGTAAATAAGAAATCTTATGAAATAAATATAAGAAAAAATACATTAAAATATTTTAAAGATTAATGTACATTAGTTCGATAAAATTATGTTGCCATTTAAAAATATGTAAATGTACTTGATGAATTATTTGAAGGAAATATACATATGTTCGAAGAAAAGAACATTTCATATGCACCAGCCTGATAGGTCCAACTCAAACCGGACGTACATGGACCTTGAAGTACATAAATTGCACAATGCACTGCACACAAATTTTCGACGAAGCAATATTAAATACGAGTATAATAAAAAGGCTTATTTGTTTTGCACATAACATTTAACGATGCCGTTATACTCCAACAAATGCACATCTGATTTTTAGTACCGAACGATTCTGAAGTTTATTACTTCCCAATCGTAAAGTACGTAGATAAAATTCCAAAATATGGTAATGTAATATGCAATTTGTTAGAAAACACTAAATTATCTTCTACGTCCATCGACCTAAATTATTTCTTGCATTCTATATTCTATGTAATAATATACAGAGTGAATCAATAAGAAGTAATATGATTCCTTGGAAGCTTTCTATAGGATTAGCAAATATTATATTATTTTAAATGATTCACTCTGTATTTCTACATGAGTGTCTGGATTAGATAATCTATAAAAAGGAATATATAAAATGATTCATCAGAGCACAGAATTTAAATTGGTGAAAAAGCAAATGTAAATTGCATTAGAGCGTCGAATACTGAGATCTACGTACCTTCCAATTTCCCGTTGTTGACGAGCAGCGAATTGTTCGACTTCCTGGACGAATTTCGTGACATTTGGCTGTGACTGGGGCTGCTGTCAGTGCTCTTCTTCTCGATCACGTCGTTGCAGCTGTACGAGGTGTGCGGTATCGTGTATATAGGGTGGACGCTTCCTTGAAGCCCCCCGAACGAAACATGGAACAGGATACATATAGCTAAAGTGAGCGATCGGGTGACCGAAAGCTGTGAGTGGAGTGGGGATGATAGATCTTTCCGATTTATCACTGTTCCCGATTACTCTACTACCGCCTGCTGTTGGAGAGCCCGGTCTAATCATACTAGACACTCGCGGTGCGCTCTGGTCGCGTTTCTGATTTCTGATCGCCAGTTTCGCTTTTGTCCCCGATTCCGATCCATCGGATACACGAGCAGAGGTAAACCGACACTATACACTGGTCTGCGTGTTGTATTTCTCGAAACATCCGATATTTGCAAAACAGATGAGCCGAGTTACCGAATTTATCGTTAATCCCACGTTAAATGTTGGTCTATTTCTGATTGGAATTAAACGTAGCTATCAGTGATCGCTTTCCGCTTTTACCCATATAGAAATAATTTAAAATAATTCGAATATAATAAATTTACTCGAATGAAAATATAATATAACATAATAATGAAATAACAATAGAATATAAAAATAAAAATACTTTAAACAGAATTTGTATTATATAATTACTATTTTATATTAAAACGTTGAAGCAATTGCATATTAATAAAAAGTTAATTGGGTCAAAATAATTATTCTACATTGATTAAAATATTAATTGGTACTAAAGCAAATTACGGGCTGTTGAAAGAGATGGCTATCAATTTTTACTGTTTTTCGTATATTTCGTTTTAATAGACTTTTTTTTCAAGTTTGAAGTCGGGATATTAGCGACTGTTGAAATGCGTTTAATTGTCCGTGGAGTGATTGATAATTGTTCCAGCAAAAAAATTGGCACGTGCAAATGATATCATAAACATGTCTGATCACTTGAACGGTAAAGCTGCAACTGTATTTTCTTTTGTTTACGCTTGAATCTGACGGGAGAGCGGAGTGCACAGGAAATTTATTTTAACGAATCAGTGCACAACGAAATCGCTCGTTTTGTGAAGTCTCTATTCTCTCCTTTTTTTGCAGAGTCACTTCGATTACCATTCATTGTTTACGCGGACAGCACAATAGGATCCTCCTTGACGTGATCTCCTGCTTTGATGGGGATGAAAATTGACGCCCCACGTCGGACTTCGCGGCGAGATAAAAAAACGGCGAATGACACCAGTAGTCATTTACGGTGACCTAATTCACGTGATCGGTCGATCTTTCTTCATAACACAGTTCCGAAGCTCACGCGCCTACATCTGTTACTCTCTCAAATGACAATGTCAGGAATGTTCAAATACGCAATGTATCATTCGGCATTAAAGTAGGACGAGCACATAAACGAGACAGAATTGATGATTGTTCCAACCTGTCGTATTCTGTCGCATTTTAAGCCTCCGTTCCTCCTGTTTTCAATTGAAATTCGTTTTATGCCTGTCAAAATGATGTGCCATTGTGATAAACGAATACATAAATAACTAAAAGTTTTTGAAATCTTTTATTCAAACTTAAGAAACCGATTTCTATTCATCCGACAAAATAAATCTTTTTGTTCGAAATACGTTAAAATGGTACAAGATACAGATTAGTTACAAGAGAGTAAAATTGAAATGTATTTCTGTTAAGATTAGGTATTACAGGAGCATAAAAACAGCAGACGTATCTCTTCTCCTAAATGACAATAATGAAGACAAGCCACTTGGAAACTGCACTCATGTGACCTTAGATTAACGATTACACAGTTGCTAGTGTCGTAGTATTACGCTACTGTATAAAAAGAAGAATTGGCCAGTGTAAGTACATACGTACTTTAATTGCTCTGTGGCTCGGTTACATGGAGGAAGTTAATATTGCATAATGTCGCCATAAATTCGTGAAGGTAAAAGATGATTCCGCCTGGTTATCTACGCGCATATGTATGTACACGTATATATACATACATAACTAGGTATATCGCGTTTACACTGTAAATATGTATCTTTATCAAAGACCTAAATTTATCTTCCAAGGATATTCTAAACAGACCCTTGCATCGTGAATGTTTCAAGGATTATACGACCACGGGTAATTAAAGCAAAAATAACTTGCTCTTCCACTTTGGGAAATTACATAGATGGGAGCAGTGTCATAAAGTTTGAGAAGGCTGAAGTGAATAATAAATTGTATTAAATTGTTTGGAAGTAAAAGTTATATTGACGCAACATTGAATTCGATACTTTCGTACAATCAGTTTATACTTCAAATAAAAATATACTTTATACACATAATTAATAAGTTGGGTAACAGCCAATTGTTTGAAACGTAGCATAGAAGATTTACAAATAGTAGAATCGACGATTTTACGAATTTATTCAAGAAGTGAAAAAGTATTTGAGGAAAATTACATTTCATTTTACGTGGACCAATCTGATAGTTAACAGTTTTCGAGATACGTTTTGGGAAAGGCGATGGTTCATACACAGCGAAGGTATGTTACCTGTCCGTCCTCTGGCTTCGCTTTCAGTTCTATGGTGTCCCAGAGCTTGCAACTTCTCTGTAAGGCCATGAATTTTCTCGGCCAGAGAAGATCCACCGTGACTCTCCGTCATTGTTCCACCAGATAAACTAGTGCTGTTCACGTTACTACTGGATGTTGTGTGAGATGTAATCGCGGCACAAGCGGTTGTCGATGACATCGCAGCCATTTCCTAGAAAATGTAGTAACATTCACGTTATGCATCATTATTCTTTACGATAACAAGTTTCAGTTTAAACGAGAACGGAATATGTTTACATTTCCAATCTGTCCATAATACAAGATTAAATATAATCGATTCATATGGAAATGTGTACAGTTTTTCATTGAATGTCCAACGAAGGATTATATCTGTGGCTTGGTACAAAATGTGCCAACATATTTTTGCAAACATTTATTAAACTCGATATCGAATTGGTAAATCCTTTATAAAATAGTCAACATGAAGAATGACAATTTCAATTATGAATTACTATAATGGCATTTGTCATGACAATATTTTTCATAAAATAAATTGGTCAGACGAATAGTCCAACATTTGTAAAACAAAATATGTGTTTAAATGCTAATATCTCAACTTCATAAATATTGACAGTGGTATGTACTTTTTACATCAAGCTACAGATGTATGCTACGTAATATGTATATGCATGTATTATGTACAGAATTTCCTTCCTTTGAAGAAGGTAAACTACAAAAAGAAATTGTTACGAAAAATTTTTAATGAAAATCCGTTGGATTGCTGTGATAGAAGCACGTACCTTAAGAGTTTTCCCATCGATCCCACGCGGTGGTTTTTTTATAAACGAGAGGAAAAGATGCCGCGAAAGTTCGTCGGGAGTTGCTACTTCGAGATAGGTATCCAGAAATTTCCGAAATCCCTCGTAATCAATGTCCTGAAACAAGTATAATATTTTATAAATTCAATTGTGATCCACAAAAATTATATTTTAATTAGAATTTGTCAAGCTGACATGTTATGTTTGTAAAATTT